TTTTATACACCAATAATGAATTATCAGAAAGGAAAACTGAAAAAACAACCCACTTAAAACTGCATCAAAAAATACTAAGAAATAAAATTTAACTAAAAAGGTAAAAGACCTGTAGTCAGAAAATTATACTGAAAAAAGAAAATGCAAATAAATGAAAGAATATACCACTCTTATGGACAGGAATAATTAACATCATTAAAATGCCTATACTCCCCAAAACAATCTACAGATTCAACATAATTCCTATCAAAATACCAGTGGCATATTTCATGAGCTAGAACAGATAAATCCAAAGATTTATATAGAACCACAAAGGACTTAAAATAACCTCAGCAATATTGAAAAAGAACTAAGTTGGAGGTATCACACTACTTGATATCAAACTATACTACATGGCCATAGTAATTGAAACAGCATGGTACCTACATAAAAACAGACATAGATCAATGGAACAGAATAGAGAGCCCAAAGTAAACCCACATCTATATGGCCAGTTAATATTTGACACAGAAGTCAAAAATACACAATGGGGTAAAGATACTAGTCTATTCAATAAATAGTGTTGGGAAAATTGGAGTGATAACGTGCAAAAAAAAGAAAGAAACCAGAACACTTTCTGACACCATATACAAAAATAAACTGAAGATGAAGACTCAAATATAAAAATCGACACTGTAGCCCTGGCTGGTGTAGCTCAGTGGATTGCATGCTGGCCTGTGCAAAAAAGGGTCGCCATTTTGATTCCCAGTCAAAGACAAATACCTGTATTGTGGGCCACGTCCCCAGAAGGAGGTAAAAGAGAAACAACTACACACTAATGTTTTTCTCTCTCTCTTTCTCCTTCCTTCCCTTCCCCCTCTCTAAAAGTAAATAAATAAAATCTTTTTAAAAAATTGATACCATAAAAGTCATAGAAGAAAACATAGGCAGTATAATCTGACTTATTTTTCAGTTTTTTTAAAAAATATATTTATTGATTATGCTATTATGGCTGTCCCGTTTCACCCTCCTTTATTCCCCTCTGTACTGCACCTGCCTTCCCACCACCATTGCCCCACTTTAGTTCATGTCCATTGGTTATACATGTAAGTTCTTTGGCTTCTACATTTCCTATACTATTCTAAACCTCCCCCATACCTAATATTTATACTTCTTATTCCCTGTACTTCCCCCCCATTTCTCCCCTCCCCTCCCTGCTGTTACCCCTCCATGTGATCTCCATTTTTGTGATTCTGTTCCTGTTATAGTTGTTTGCTTAGTTTGTTTTTGTGGGGTTTTTTTTTAGGTTCGGTTGTTGATAGTTGTGAGTTTGTTGTCATTTTACTGTTCACAGATTTTGATCTTTTTCTTAGATAAGTCCCTTTAACATTTCATATAATAAGGGCTTGGTGATGATGAATTCCTTTAATTTGACCTTATCTGAGAAGCACTTTATCTGCCCTTCCATTCTAAATGATAGCTTTGCTGGATAGAACAATCTTGGATGTAGGTCCTTGGCTTTCATGACTTGGAACACTTCTTTCCAGCCCCTTCTTGCCTGCAAAGTTTCTTTGGAGAAATCAGCTGATAGTCTTATGGGAACCCCTTTGTAGGTAACTATCTCTTTTTCTCTGCTGCTTTTAAGATTCTCCCCTTATCTCTAATCTTGGGTAATGTTATTATGATGTGTCTTGGTGTCTGCTTCCTTGGGTTGAACTTCTTTGGGAAGTTCCTGGACTTCCTACACTTCCTGGAAATCAATTTCCTTTGTCAGTTTGGGGAAGTTAGCCTTCATTATTTTTTTTCAAATAAGTTTTCAATTTCTTGTTCTTTCCTCTTCTCCTTCTGGCACCCCTATGATTCAGATGTTGCAACACTGAAAGTTGTCCTGAAGGTTCCTAAGCCTCTCCTCATTTTTTTGAATTCTTGTTTCTTCATTCTGTTGTCGTTGGATGTTTATTTCTTCCTTCTGCTTCAAACTGTTGATTTGAGTCCCAGTTTCCTTCCATTCACTGTTGGATCCCTGTACATTTTCCTTTATTTCACTTTGCATAGCCTCCACTTTTCCTCCATTTTGTGACCATACTCAACCATTTCTGTGAGCATCCTGATTACCAGTGTTTTCAACTCTGTATCTGATAGTTTGGCTGTCTCTTTGTCACTTAGTTCTATTTCTGGAGCTTTGACCACTTCTTTCATTTGGGCCGTATTTTTTGTCTCGGCACAGCTGTTATATTGTAAGGATTGGCGCCTTATGTATTTGCCAAGGTGGGGGAACTCCCTTTGCTGCATTGTGGAGCTGTAGTTGGAGAGGGTTCCAAGAGGAAACAATGCTGCTTGCTTGGCTCTCTGCTGGCTTTCAGTCACTTCCTCTGTGACTCACAAGCAAGTTGAGCCCTTCTGGTGCTGATTGCTAGGTGGGTGGGTTTGTGTACATTCTTGGACACTGTGGGTCTCTCCAATGAACTCTCCTGTGAGGCTGGGAGTTTCTCCTGCTGCCTCAATCCTCACAGGTTTTTAATTACCAGAGGTTTTGAGCTTTATTTCCCCCCACTGGAAACTTGGGTTGTGTGGTCTGTCTTACTCCCCAGTTGTTTCTCCCAGTTATTCTCATACAAATGTGAGACCGTAGGTCTGCCAGCCACTGCCTTGCCTATTTCGGTTTATGAACTGTCGCTTCACCCACCAGGTCCTCCAGCCACCACCTTGCTGAATGTCCTCTCTGCCCTGGTTGCCCATCTCCTCCCCTCTTACCAGTCTGAATGAATGTTTCTTCTTTAACTCCTTGTTTGTCAGATTTACATACAGTTCAATTTTATGGCAGTTCTGCTTATTTTTTTCTTTTTTAAATTGTTATTATCCTTCTTTTGATTGTGCAAGGAGGCAAAGTGTATCTAACAGAATGATAGTTGCCAGAGGGGAGAATGGGGTACTAGGTAAAAGAGGTGAAAGGATTAAGGAGTACAGATTGGTAGTTACAAAATACAAGGTTGTAAAGTACAAACTAGGGAGTATAGTCAATAATATTGTAATAACTATATATGGTACTAGGAGGATATTGGAAATATCAGGAGGAAAACTTTATCAAGTATACAATTACCTAACCACTATGCTGTACACCTAAAACTAATACAAAAAATATTAATGTAAACTGCAATTGAAGAATAAAAAGAAATAAAAGTAAATTAAAACAGAAAGAAATGAGTGCATATCTCCACCATAAGATGTGTTTGAGAATGTATATAACACTGTTGCAATTATAACAAAAACCTGGAAATAATATAAGTTTTCACTAACAAGAGAACATAAAGATTGTGGTATATGTATACAATGCAATACTACCAAGCAAAAAAAAAAAGTCAAATAATTAGAACATGCAACAAAGGTGAAATTTATAGATGTGATGAGCAAAAGAGGTACAAAAAAGAATATACACCGTATCATTTGATTTATATGAAATTCATGAATAAGCAACACTAATTTATGATGATGAATTCAGAATAGTAGTTATGAGTGGGGGTAGTATGTACTAAAAAGAGGCATGAGGAGCTTTCTGACCTGCAGGAAATATTCTGTTCCGTGATCTCAAAAGTATTTCCATGGGGTAATATATACTTGTAAAACATTCAACAGTACATTTAAGTTCTCTGTACTTCCCTGCATTTATGTTTACCTCAAAGCAATACAATAAAAAGAAAATATCACCTACAGCATAGCTCAAGGGCTAATGATAATATGTGTAAAATGACTATTAACAGGTGAGGAGTATATAAGGACATGTCTTGGCCCTGACCCCTGTATGCTTTTTATCTGCCACAGATGGGGAAAAAAACATCCATTGGCACTGTAGGCCACGGCAGATCATACCTGATGCAGCTTCTATTCCTTTTAGGACCACCCAGCTTTATGTAATGGCAAAAGAAATATCTTTTTGTTAAAACAACAACAACAACAAAAAATGAAGAGTAGGCAATTTTCTCTAGTGTTTTAAAATAGGGACTTTTGTTTTTATGTGCTATTAATTGCTATAGTGTAACATTTACCAGGTTATTTTCTTTTATCAAGAAAATAAAATTTCTCATATCATCATTCTCCCACTATGTCATTTATCAATAAATCAAGATTTGTGCACTTTACTGTGTGCATGCTATACCTCAATACAATTTCTTTCTAATGGCCCTGCCAACACTCCCAGAGAGGCCACATCCACATGGGGCCTCCCGGACTCAGGCACCCGTGCCCAGTCTGGGGAATGCAGTTACTCCCAACACAGCAGCCTGTCTCATTTTCCTGACACAGCAGCTACTCTTGTTTTCAGTTCTGCCACTGAAGCAGCTCCTCTATATTTCCCTGTGAGCATCAGACACCAGTCCTCAAGCCTCCAATTACAAGGGTTACCCGCTAAACTCTCCAAGTGAACATGCATGCCCCTCAATGGATCTGAAGAGGAAGAAAACCTCATGTTCTCACCCTTTCACTTGGTTGAGGACTCACATACCTCATGGAAGGAAGAAAACCTCATGTTCTCACCCTTTCACTTGGTTGAGGACTCATATGTTGGAAGAGCTTGATGGAAGAGCTCATCAAGCTCTTCTAACATATCTCTTCACAGATCCTCTTTCCTCTTCATAACTTGATCTTCTTTATTATATCTTTAATGTGAATGAGAGGCTCACGAGTCTTTGAAACAACATCAGACATGTACTTTACAATTACACTCTGCACTTTTCCCTAGCACCTCACTCTGGTGTACAGTATTTATGGTTTGGTGTTGGCTATCTCCCAACCAAGACTTCAATATTAACCTCCTGCTATAGTAACCAGCTTGAACCATAAGAAATAGTTGATTGTTGACTAGTTTAACCTAAAAGTGCAATTTTATATCATTTAAACTAACAATTTTATTCAAAATAGGCTTTTTAGAGAAACTGAACTCAAATTGGATTTGAATAAAAGGGAAACATGGATTCTTAAATGAATACCCAGGCAAATACTGAAATGCCTTCTGCAAAGCATCTCACCTTAGATTTCAGGTCAGCACACAGTTCCTGTTGCTTTTTTCTGTCCTTAGCCAATGCATTCTCCATTTCATAAGTTGCACAGGCTTCAGCAAGCATCAGCACAGCCTTCCGTATAAAATGTCTCCTATTATTATTCCAGTTTGATACTAGGATCCTTCGCTGCTCCCTAGTGAAGCGATACTGGTGATAGCATTTCTCATGTTCAACCTGAAAACATAACAGATGGCTATGATTACACTTATTATACTTATAACAAAAGTGAGCCTATGCCTTATGTCATTGTCCCAAAAATGAATAAAATGTATAACAACTAATTTTTAAAAACTGAGGGCAAATATCTTAATGGTTAATATAGCAACCAGGACCAGGTTCCAGTCCCTGAGTTCTGAGCCTATGCCTAACTGGTGACTGAGGACCAGTCGCTTAATGTTTCAAGTCCATCATTTCCTTGTGTAGGATGGAGTCAGGCCAGGCGGCCCTAAAGTAACTTCTATTTCTACATGACAATGAATCTACAGGCAGAAGTGTTATTTCCCTTATCTATAATTTCAAAAACACTCCATCTTTAAATTAGTTTTGGTATTTTAACAACTTCAGTTTGACATGTGTGAATAAACATAAAAAATTGTTATAATAACCCTGAAAACTCAGTTTGCCTTGATCTTTGAAACATTTTGATGTTAAGATGTCTAAACTTGAAGTAATTATAGCAATGACAGTAGCCCTTCCCATCCCACACTCCTGAGGGACATGGCATTATCACATCAGTACCAGCAGCTCCTGTTGGCATGAATCCCAACCAGGAGAGAGCTCAGATTTGAGGGGAGGAAGAGGAATGGAGATAAAAAATCTCTGCAGGTGATTTTGAAATGCTCATTATAAAATGGTGTGTCTCAAATTCAGTCACTGACCTGAATAATCTTTATTTTGCTACTAGAGGCCATGTCTCTGAATTTAATACATTATTTAACCTCTAAATGGTGTGGAAAAAAAAAAGAAAGTAGTATGCAGGATAAGGTTGGTCCTACCTAAAATAATAATTTAGTTTGGTTAATGAGGTACGTGATGAAACGTACCTATGGCTTCACTTAAACCAAACATCAGCTGCTAAAATCTGATCTGTAAACTTTTTAGCTTTGTTCCCAAAAGCCAAAAATATACTTAGAACCTCTCAAACATTAAGAAAGGAAACATATATCATGCAGAAATGCATACTAATCAACCCAATGTAAGAAGTAAATGTAAAAATCTTATTATGTAAATAGTAGGCAAATATAAAAGTCTACAAAGATAAAAATGACAGCTGGTCACAGAAGCAACTAGATTCAACAGGGAATAAAAAGAAAAATCTAATTTAATAAACTAAGACTTTAAAAATTCTAGAGAGAATTATTTATTACATAACATACTTTTTATATAACAGGTATCTTCTGTTTATAGGTCAGAATTAAAACAAATAATTATTGGGTGGCAGGCTGGGGGAGAGGATAGATGATAGTTATACTAGCTGTGTGGCCTTTGCTTCAGTTGTTTTTTTTTTAAATCTGTAAAATGAGTATAACAATGGCACTTCCCTCACCTACTGTTATGTATGTTACAGGAGTTTACACATGACTGACATAAGGCAAATTCTATACATATGTTAGTATTGTTATCATTTGCTTAACTTAAAACAATTACAAAAATGCAGATTATACAATAACATTTTATAGAATGACCCATTTAAAAATTAAAAGTCTATGTGTGCTTGTTTACATATATATTTTAAGGTGAGTTATTTTGAAATTAATTGGTGCCATGGTAACTTTTGTTTTTTTGCCTTGTCATCTGAAGAATGAAACAGTAATTTTCTAGGCCCTTCTCAGGTAAATTTTAGTTGTGACTCTGAATTTGAAGCATTTGTGTTTCAGACTCATTTAGAGGGATCAAGCAGGGTGGTTGTGGTAGGGGTGATACAGGTAAGAACCAGCCCCCGATGCAGTTGTTGGTTTCCCCATAACTAGAAGGACTGAAGTGTGGCAGCTCTGTGGATGAAGGAATAGGCATTCCACTTTCAGGCAAGAAGCACAGATGAAAAAACCTCTGATGGTGGGCAGGTGACTGTATACACACCCAGAGGTCAACTACTAGCAGAACAGCCAGAGTGAAGACCTCTGGGGCAAGTAAGCACAGAAGAATAAATGTTGCCAAAGGGGTCACCCACACTCTTATGGACCATACAGACTTGAAAAATGACAGACTTTCAACCTATAATCCTAATCTTTTCTAGAATGTAGGAAAAACTAAATTTTAGAACACCATTAAAAAAGTTATATTTTACTTAATAATAATGGACCATGAAAACAATTTAACTTGCTAGTACTCACCAAAGCATGCCTAGATTTGTGAGGAAAATATCTTTGTAACATGTCAAGATACAGAGTCCTTCTGCCACAAAGATCTCCAGGATACTGATCCAAAACAGACTGGTAAATCCAGTGATCTTCTTCACTTAACTGGAAGTTTCTGGAAGAAACAAAAATGTTACACAATATTGTTAAGCAAAATAAAGTTTGTGGAATGTCAAACTCTTCAAACTATTAGCAAGTGATAATGATTACATAAAGTTAAAGTTTTTTACACACATTAGCCAAATTAAATGTCTGCTATTGAAAAATTTCTAATACAATGGGTTCTGTGAATTCTTTATTTATTCTTGCCATGAGTTCCAAGAATAATCTGAAGAAGTTTGACAATGAAACATAATGTTGTTAAAGTATTTATTCTATCTTACCTGTATTTTAACTATAATAAGTGATAAATGAAATTTTTAAAATATTGGAAAATAAATTTTTAAAAATGCAGATTAAAAAGGAATTTTGCTTATTCAACAAAATTCCTATTTCTAGACTGGAGGAAAATGCAAATGTAGATAGTTAAATGAACTAATTACACAAAGAAAACTAAGGCCTGAGGAATGCACTTCATTTAAAGTTTGACCTTAAAAGCAAGCCTAAAATTACCTTTTACTTTATCTTCTCAACATCTCATGTTTTTAGGATTGGAGGTAAGAGTAGACATTGGTAGTGAAAAAATAACCAATGAAATTAAATTTCAAATCATTAATCCTCTGTAAAAAGGATCCCTTCAAGTCACCTTACCAATAACCTGTCCACCATGCTCCAAAATGTCTTTTTCACTTCAGAACACTCTTAGCCACTGACCTGGTTTGCATTTCTATGTAAAGTACACTTGACCTTTAAATAACATTGGACACCTACATGGCACAGTAAAAAATTCAGGTATAGCTTTGGACTCTGCAATCAGCTTTTCCCATTGGCAGATACAACCAACTGGGGAGTCAATACCCTATTTTTGATCTGAATGCTGGCAACCTATGGTTGGGAAACCATAGTTGGGAATGTGAATACCATTCCCAAAATACCATTGCAGTTGGTTGAATCCACAGATACAAAACTGAAGATTGGAAGAACTGACTGTATTTATTGAAAATATCTTCATAAAAGTGGACCCATGCAGTTCAAACCCCTGTTGTTTCAAGGGTCAACTATATTAGCAAGGTCCTATGCAGAGTGAAAAGGCTGCAACATCAACTTGAAGTCTAAATTGAATTAATGTCTCTTCATTATTCTGAGATTATTTGCATATTATTACTCCTGTTAAATAACTTGGAATAATCAAATCAGATGCAATCAAAGGGATTATTATTAGCAATAAATAATTCTTGATCTAGACTTGCTATTGTTTATTTCTACTATTCAATGATCTTCTACTTTAAAGTTAACTGTACAATTTAAAAATTTTTTCGAATGTCTTCTATGACTTTGAAAAATATTTAACAACTTAAAACAATAAAAACCTCTTCAAAGCAGTGATACTCATGGGAATTCCACTGTCTTCACACAAGTTCATGTAGTCTGTAAAGCATTTCATTATTCTGGTAAGTAGCAAGAAAGATAGAAATTCTTTTTCAAAGAAGATAATCTCTAACAGTTCTATAATGGGAAGAAAAAGGTTAAAGGTATTCTACCAGGAAGGATACTTTATAGTTCCTCAGTATAACATAATCTGTTGCAGAGAAAGAATTTGAGATGAATTCAATCATTGAACAACTTGAGTGTCTTGTTTTGTCTAAATCAGTTAGGCATGTATGGGCAGTCAAAGGTTTCTGTGAATAAAGCATTTCAAATAGGGGTATTAAGCCTGGAAGAAGACTTTCCTGAGTGTATGTGGCATTTAAAACACCTTCAAGTCTTCAAGAACAATATCTCTGGTCCTCTCTCAAGGAACTCATTTTCATTATGACAAAGTGCATTTAATAGCAGTTAGCCACATAAATTCTCTATTACTACACCACAGCTACAACAGCAAAAAAGACCTCCAGTCCATGTCCTCATTAATGTTTTTAAAGTGTTTCTATAAGCAAAAGGTTTTTAATATGGCTTGAATTTCCACCTTTATGCGATTACAAATGTAGGTGGATGGGTGTGGAATTGCGTGCTGGGGAGGAGGAAGTGACAGGATCTAAGTTCAATATTTTTTTTGTTCTTCTGAATTGTCATACATCTATATAACAGATGTTGTTGAAACCATTACACATCACCTTTATTAACTAGAATTTCCATTACAAGATGCTGATAATTCGCAAATGCACCTTCATTCTGTGGAGAATTGCTCTGAGCCAACTGAAAACTGCCTCATGCAGAAAGCAAGTCTCCCACATGCTTTCAAGGGCTACCCACAACCAATGATTGATTCGCTGATGTGGAGGTACAAAAGGCCACCCCACTTGCCTCAAGATGGGTCCAACTCTGTGATACCATCTGTGCTGCAGAGTTCCACTGTGGGAGCAAACTGCAGCTCATTCCTAGTGAGTTCTCCACCTTGTGCAGACATTCTTCCCTGCTGTATCTTGCTTCCCCTACCACCCTTTTCTGGAGAGCACTGCCCAACAAAGCACTTGTTACAATCTCACTCTCAGCATTGCTTCTACTGAACCTGATCTAAGATAATCTATAAGCAATCCTACCCATAATTTTCTAAAATAGTTTAAATCCTTTGGTAAATGAAGAAGTACTTCTAAGCTAATTTCTTTGATGGCCCTCATATTGAATGGTGGTGTAAGGTTTTTCTCAAAGAGAAAGTGCAAATAGCAAACATTTATAAAAATGCCTTTCAAATTAAGGCACACATTAAGCAGTGTATGTTGCTATTAATAAATATAGCAGCAGGAGAATTTGTGGCACTCAGTGCATTTTTATACAATACATTGTGTGAATGTATTAATTAGGTGCCATTTTAGCAACAACACTAAAACCATTTAAATGTATGAAATGCTAATATAACATTAAAACCAAATGTGTCATGAACAATGATCACATCTATTTTGTTCTTCTTATTGATTTTAGAAGCCTCACATCTCAACAGCTTTTCCCAATTACCACAATTATACAAATTGTCGGTCATTTTTCTAGCACACATGGAATAAAAACATCATAGAGGAAATAATATATAAATACTCACAAAATTATTATTTTTAGAATATTTATAGCAGTTTCCACAGCCACAGGCTCAAATCTTGAGGCAAATATCCACATCAGCAATGCTAATGGCACAGACATACATCTCCATTAGGATGCTGTTTGTGAGGGAGAAACTGCCCCCACTGTAATATGTACTGAGTCTTCTGGATGGTAAAATTCTAGTATAATAGCCTCTTCTAAACAATCATTTCTTACTCAGTCTCTAAAATAAAAGCAAATTTAATATATCTGCACTTCTAAATTCAGATCTGGACATTTATCTTTCCTAATCAAACCTTTATCTCGCAACTGTACAGAAAAATCTAAGCAATATAGCCTAGCTATATAAAATAATGAGGATTAGCTTTTTACCTCCCAAAATTCTTTTTTTAATTTAACTGCTTTACTGGTGATAATGATGACAGAATGACCTAAACTACACAGATATTGAAAAATATTCTGATCACTTATCTCCTTTCTGAATATGGGAAAAATGACTATAATTAAAAAAAATAAACACTTTACAATTATCTTAAACATTTGCAAGTTTTTAAATATCCTTAGACAAAAGATCTTTGGATTGCAGTACTGTCTGGAATTTGTATTCTTTTTGTCCATCCAAATTTTTTAATTTAAATTGTTTTGTAATTTTTATCTTTAAAATAGCACACTAACGCTTCACAGTTTCCAGATTTATTGGGCACTTTTAACACTTCAGGGAATTTTAGCCTGCAGAAGTATGAGATATTTACCACTCAACTCCTACCCACTGTCTCCTGCCTCTAAATATTGAAATCCACTGTTATCATTTCATTATGATTTCCCAGGATAAAACATGTGAGATAAAACAGGTAATTCATAAATGGAGGACGACTGGGCTCTAAGAATTCAACCAGATGAAGGCCAGCTGTCTCCCTATTTTCACCTATTTGAAACATTCCAAAAATCCAAAACTGACTTAGAATTAATTTAGCTATCAGTTTTCTCAGTAGTCATGTTTAAAGCATTTCCCAGAACTTCCAGCCAGGATGGAGGCATAGGTAGATATACTTTTCCTCTTCCCACAACCAAAAGAAGGACAACAAATTTAAAAACAAAAATAACCAGAACGGCCAGAAAATTGAACTGTATAGAAGTCTGACAACCAAGGAGTTAAAAAAGAAACATTCATTCAGACCAATGTGAGAGGCGGAGACAGGAAGCTGGGGCACAGAGGACTTGAGGTAAAGCAGCAGCTGAAGGACCAGACAAGACAGCAGCCCTGCATTTGCATGCAGATAAACCAGGAGAAACAGCTGGGGGACAAGACAGACCGCACAACCCAGGGTTAGAGCACTGGGAAATAAAGCCTCAAAACCTATGACTGAAAAAACCTGTGGGGGTTGAGGCAGCAGGAGAAACTCCTAGCCTCACAGGACAGTTTGTTGGAGAAACCCACAAGGTCCTAGAACATATACAAGCTCACCCACCCAGGAATCAGCACCAGAAGGGCCCACTTTGCTGTGGGTAGTGGAGGGAGTGAAGAGGGGAGAATGGGGGAAAAGGTACAGGGAATAAGAAGCATAAATAGTAGGTAAAAAATGGACAGGGGGAGTTTAAGAATATATGGAAAATGAAGAAGCCAAAGAACTTATATGTATGACCCATGGATATGAACTAAGGTGGGGAAATGATGGTGGGGGAGCAGGGACAGGGCAGAGGGGAGTAAAGGGGAGAAAAAAAATTGGATAAGCATAATAACATAATCAAGAAAATATATTAAAAAAATAAACCATTTCTCTAGGATCTGGTTCTATGACATAAGATACCTTTGTGGGGGGCAGGTAGCCAAAGGTGACAAATAAAATACATAAGGGTGGCAGGTATTTTAATAACAAAAACAAATCTATAAAAGAAACATTGTGTTTACAAACTGGCTGAAAGTTGTCTTACATTTTCTTGGAGTAAAGGGAGCTTTCCAGTCAAATGGCAGTGTTTTCTAAA